CATGCATACATACATACATACGTATACATGCATATATATATATATATGTATATATGTACAGCATATGTATATATATATACATATGCATATATGTACATATATATATATATAATATTATAGTATGATATAATGTAATATAAAAAATAGAATATAATACAATATAAAATACACAATCATAAAATTTACATATAATATACATATGCGACCCTCCTCATGTACCCACGCTTTGTGCTTGAATCGTCGAGGATCGTGGTCGTGTCCCTACAAACCTTTCCATTCTCCACTTCCATTCTTGGTCGTATCTACATTCATTTAAGTACTACTTAGCATGTTCTTCTATGCCAGTATCAAGTGTGGTTTCACTATGACATTTGCCAGTGATATTGCTACCACTGCCACAGTCTTTATTTCTGTGGTTATCGTCACCGATCTGGTCGCTTCAGTAATCCAACCCATTTAACGCTCTCTACCTCCCCTTGCCTTACATACATATATATATATATATATATATTCCTACATGCTCCTGCATGCGCTCGTGGCTTTCTGATAGGATGTGTTTCTTGTGGTGTCAGCCTTTGCTGTGTGGGCTCCGCTTTGTGCGAGCCTTTGCCGAACGGAGGCCGATCGGAAGTGGACGCTCATCGGCCACTTTGGATGAAGAAGTTAGATTTCCTTGAAGTAGGGTTTAGGGTTTAGGGATGTTTTTAGGATTTGGGGTTTACAGTTTAGGGTTTAGGGTTTATGTAAGCTTTCCTTGAAGAAGTGAGGTTTTTGAGTTTTGGGGGTTTCGCTTGTGGAAGACGAGATCTAGGCTTCGTGTGTGTGTGTGTGTGTGTGCCACCCATGGGAAACGGAAGCGGAGGCTTCATGTCGCGCGGAGCTGGATTCAGGGACTTTGCCAACCCCTGCGCCTGGACGAAGGGAGAACACCTCGGTGTCCTCTTACCAGATGATGACACCAAGCTCCCGGTGCTGCACAGGCATGGGGCCCCCATCCCCATGAGCCAAGCCGAAGTGTGGCTGCCTAGATGTGCGTTCTGCGTTGTGCGCCAGGGGGTTGGTCCAAGGGGCGGAAGTGGTCGACGGCCTTCTGCGAGTCCACCCTGCAGCTGCTGCCTCGGAAGATGGCCTCACGAAGCTCCACATGGGACATCAGGACCGGGCCGGGGTCTCGCTGCGCGCTTCGAAGGCTTCGAAGTCTTCGGAGGTCTAAAGTCTTCGGAAACCTTCTCTAGGCCTAGGCCTAGGCCGTGACTCGAAGCAGGGTTTCATATGGGAGATTCAGAAAATTAGGGGTACCTTATTTTGGGGTCCTTATAATAGGGATCCTATTATTTAGGGTACTATATTAGGGTCCCCTATTTTCGGAAACCCCCATATCGGCTTCTCTTCTTTCAGTCCCCTGCTGTGGCCGAAATAAGCCTTTCCCATGAGCTCCGAACCCGAGAGCTCCTGAACTGCCCGGCGAAGCACAGGACTAAACGACCCAAACCTAGATCCCTAGATCCCTAAATCCCCCCTGAATCGATGGGACATAGCTTGGTTCGGTCTGTTATATGGCCTTCTTTTCTTGGCCGGTGTGCTGTGAAACACGTGGGCCGTCGACCCGTGACTGTCTTCAACCAGTCGGGCAGGGGGAAAGATGGCGAAGATGTCGAAGATGGTGAAGAAGTGCTTGGAAATCCCGCCCCTACTGTAGCCCGACATGCTGCCTCAACCAACATGGTCTTCAACTGGAGTTCTGCAGGAGAAAAAAAGGGGATTATGCGCAGAAGATCCCCTAAATCTTCAACCTCAGCCCTGGCCCTGAACCAAGCGGAGGACTATCACGCTTACGACGTGCATCTCTTTTGGGCTAACGTGCGTGAGCGCGTGAAGCAGCAGGCGGGGTCTTCCGAGTGTGGGGCTTTTTTGGGGCTTCCGGGAGTCGAGTCGTGAAGTTTTAGAGTTCAAGATTTTGGAGATTTCCAGTTGCCGGATTTGTGTTGGGTCTCGGGCCTTTTCGTGGGAGGGGTAGGATGCTGTCTCAGCATGACAGTCGAATCCCTCTTCTTGCCAGGTGGCTGCCTTCCGCGCATAGACGCGTGTAGTACTGGGCAGCCGACGGGCCTCGTTGGCTTCAGATCGAACAGGCTGTTTAGGAGCATCTGAAGCCGCAAGCCTCTTTAGCCGTGTACAGTGTCGGCATGGTGAAGAAGGAGCTATGTCGGGAGAAATGTGGAAGGGGCGCGATTCCATGCCTTCATCTGCGTACGTAAGGCTTGCAAGATGCTTCTAAGAGTGTCCATCTGCTTCCACCAAGGACCTGAAGGTTCGCGCCTGGATGGCAAGGGGGGATCACGCCCGAGCGTCGGGGTCTCGGTACTTCAAAAAAAGTCACCCGATGCCGCTCAACTCGGCTCCCATGAGCCTGCGGGCCACTGCTGAACAGCCATCGCAAGAGTAGCGAAATGGTGGGCAGCTCTTCCTCTACCAAGACTGGACGTGATGAATCAACCGGATCAGGATCGCAAGCGACTGTGATGAAGTTGCCGCGGTCACACTCCAAATCATACCGATACACTTTGGGTTGAGGGTTCAGAGGTCAGAAAGCCCAAACCCTTCCCTAAACACCAAACCCCAAAGTTACTGAGAATGTCCCTTAACACCAATGCCAAGCCCCGGAAGCTTGTCTGTAAACTCGAAGACATGGGACCTTCCGACGATAGGGGACCCTTAAAGACTTGTAGTAGGAGCTTCCAACATGTGCACATCACGTGAAGAGACAAAAGTCGAAGCATGGCGCTGTTCGAGAGTAGCTCATTTGCCATACGCTGACCCGCAATGAGTCTGTGAGACTTGCATATGGGTCACCATGTAGACAGTCACCGGTATCGACTCTATCGACTCGATGAGGATCCTGTAGGTTTTGCATAGAACCCTAAACCCTAAACCCTAAATTTTCATCACCCAAGCCATGGCTCAGCGCCCAACCCTCTGTCTGCACGAGACGCACAACGACTCATCTTTGCTGCAACCGTGCAGTCCGATAGGACCTACCCAGCATCGCCTGAAAGATGAGGGTGCCAAACCCTCTAAAAACCTTAAACCCTGAAGCCCCAAAGAGGAGTCTTTCAGGATTCTCCGCGAAACCCACTGCAGAAGTTTGAACCCTAAACCCTAAACCCTAAACTCCAGAAGTTTGAAGCCAAAAGCCGCCCAAAAGCCGATGAGGCAGGAAGCCCTGGAGCAGGCCTTAGAGTCGGCCAGGGGCCGCGAGGACAAGGCCCGGAGTAACAGGGTTCAGGGTCTACCGTCGGCGAGTGTAGGGCCTTTGGGCTTAAAAAGGGGTCTATATAGGGGATTATAGGGCTTAAGGTTAAAGGCTTATGGTGGGCTTAATGTCCAGGGTTGCTTTAGAGACGTGAGTCGGCTTTTTCGACAACGACGGTTCTCAGGGGTGTAGTAAAAATACATACTTCAATCAAGGTCACAGGTAAACATAAGGTTGTTACGCAAACGTTTACTGTAGAGTCTCTTTCGCACATGGGTAAGTCGCTTCCGCACCGCAAAAACCAGGGCAAAAGGGATTCTGAGTGCGCCTTAGCTGCGCGAGCGAGTCCGCCTTAGATAACCCTGCCTTTCTGGAAAGACCTCGGCAAAGGGGAACCCGAAATTTGTGTTTTCTGACATGGGAGTACCCCCTCAAACCCCCGTAAGAAAAGGCCACACCAACAGTTGTGGCTCGGGGTCTTCTTAGGCTTGACCCTCCCTCGCCGTTCTGACGGGACGGTCGGCCGGGGGCGTCGCCCAAATCCTCGAAAGGTTTACGGTTTAGGGTTAGGTAGGGGTCATCGGCTTTTGAGCGTCAGGGTCTGAAAGCGTCGCTTTTCGGGTTCAGGCACTTCGAAGGTCTAGCATGCCTGCGTTTTTTTGTTGGTGCCCGTAGTCCGTAGCTCTGTCACGTACTGCGAAAGCTACGAAGACGTTTACTGTATCCAAGCTTTGGTGTCATCGGAAGCCCGGGTCAGATCGGAGCTTCCCAGCTGTTTCCCAGGTCGCCGAAGCTGCAGCACTTCAGTCGCCCGGGCCCCAGCCCAGGAGCTGCGCAGAATTTGCTCTTTCCGCCCACGCTCCCTTCCCCCCTGTTCTCCGAACCCCTTCTGATGAACGCTGCAGTTCCTGGAATCTCGAGAGCCCGGGACGTTAAATTTGAGGAACAACAAGCTCTCGCCCAAGCGCTGGAAACACTGCTCGACTCGACGTCCCTGGATACTGTAAGTAAATTGTGCGAGAAAGCATCGTTTCGTGCTGCTCCCCTGGGGAAGCTTGGCCCATGGAGGCTGGTGAACGTTCATCTTGCCCGGAAAGCTGCCACTGCCGCGATCGAATGTGCGCAGGACGGCTTCGAAGTGACAGTCACACTGCAGATGCGCCTGTATAGCACAAGCGAGCTGAGGCATCAAGCTACATGGGTTTTGTTGCAAATTCTTGTTTTCCTCCTCCCTTTTTCTGACTCCCAGAGACTCCTTTCGCAGGAGGCTGCCAAAGTGCAGGAGATGCTTGGGAACCAAGTAACAGAGGCAAAGGGAAGCCGGTCATGTAGGACGTCAAGTAAGCCTGATCAGCAGACCCGAAGCAGAATGTGGGGACATGAGTCTCAAGTGAACGGTGGGAAATCAAGTACCGGTGCGTGCACACTTCATTCATGTCGAGACGCCCGGGACGTCGATGATTGCAGCATTGCAGCCTGGTAGTGATGATTCCAGGAAACCCGGGAACATGGAAAAACCAAAAGGCTTTTCATTTATGACTGTATGGATACTGTGCTCGATACTATAAGACTATGAGATACAGAATATGAACATACTATAGAAGTATATTGTGACTTGTCCATGACCTCCTGTGGAACTCTCTGAAAGAGCGCAGGCTGGTGCCTGGCACCTCGCGGCGCAACTCCTCCTGAAGGCAACCAGGGCTCCCTCCCTAAGGGTACACCCCAACACTCAAAGAGTATACCTGTAGCCGAAAAGACCTATACCTTTTTAGGGTTCCTCATTGTGGGTTCTATATATATAGTCCCTTAACAAGGTAGGTTTTTCGGTTACAGATGTACTCCCTATATTATAGGTACATTTTGTGGCCAAAGTATACACTGTGGGTACACCGACCCCGAGGGCCTCTTTGAAGTTTCACGCTTGTGTTGTGAGCTCAAGAGGGCGAGGGGAAGCTGAAGTGGCGCCGAAGGGTACACCAACCTGAACCACAGGTTTAGGGGTTTCAGGGGTTGACCTTCTCACGATAGATCCCAAACCCTGAAGCGCTCTTTGCCATGGTGGCCACCGCGTCTCTGTTTCGACTGAGGCATCGAATGCCTCTGAGGCCCTTCGCTGTGCCCAGGCGGCACGGCGCGTGCACAAAGGCCCGGGCTCGGATTTCGGCGACCACGGCAGGACAAGGGCCGTGGGCTAATGTGCACGAGCACATCCGCAGCGCTTTCGAGCGCTTGTGGTTACCGACTGTCAGACACTAGATCTTAGATTCTCTAGATCACTCCATCGAGTGTTTCTGCACTCGGTTCTGTCTGGCATCGACGTCCTGCCAGGTTGCAGTGTGAGTGCTGCCGAAGAGGCGCGGGCAACCGAGCAAATCGCGCGGTGACTCTTCAAGCTTGTAGCTGGCTGCTGTTCGGGTCACCCCCTCAAAGCACTCCTTCCCGGTCCGGGTTTCATTCACATAAGACTTTAAGACCTCAACGTCGCAGGCCACGGTCCTCCAGACGCTATCCGCGGCCCACTTGGCCAATGGCGATGCGACCAAAGCCCTGGAGGCTTGCAGAACGGCACAGACGTAGGACCCCATGCCAGGGCCACGACGAAAGAGGCCCCAAGAAAAATTGCTTTCAGCGGCAACTCATGACATCATGATGCTGTTCTCGTGGTGCTTGCAGGTTTCCCAGTCATGCATTAAAAACTGTTCACGGTGTCCCACTCAAAACAAAGAAAAGCCAGCTGTGTTGTTCGTTTCGGCCTTCGAGTCGACATTTTCAGACGCCCGCAGAATTACCCGCCTCGACGTGGGTGCAGGTGGCCAACGCAGGCCGCGAGCTCTGCAAGCAGGTCGGCAGTTTCTGAGCATGGGACGGATTCGCTGCTGCCAAGCACTTCTTTCAGTCACGCCTCTTCGAAGTATTCATGCTACTCCTTCCCTCTCTCTCTCTCTCTCTTTTTCCGTCTCTGTGTCGTGAGCCCCTAAAGTCCCCAAAGCCTGAACTCAAGCTTTGCGGGCTTTGCGTCACAGCCTCGCCTGAGAGGAAGCAGCCGAGGGCGGCGAAGCGCTCTGCGCCCTCCGCGCCGCCAGCCTGGGGCTTAAGTGGGAAGTTGGAAGAGCCTCTAGGACCTCTCTTGCGTTCTGCAGTAGCTACACGCTTTATCTCGAGTCTTGCTTCAAGGCTTCGGGTGTGCCACACATCGGCGTTTTTATTTCGGGTTTTGGGTCGCATGGGGAGCTTCCGGGATTGTACTTGTCACTCGGTAGTTCTAGGAGTCCCCGATGCTTCGATGGCACGAGTTGTGCCGCTTGCACGCTGCACCAGTGAACCGCGGAGCATGCGGAGCCAGAGAGGAGTTGGGAGTGAAGAGGACTTGTGCTTGCCCGCCGCCAATCTTGGCTCCTTTGGAGTTCGAGCGAGAAGTGCATCGTGAAGCAGTGGCCCTTGCGGAGAAGGCTTGTTTCACATCTGCTTCGTCCGTTGCGAAGCGAAGAGCTCTAGAAAAAGTTTCTGGCAGGAAAACCCCTGACAGAGATGGTCGCCGCCCGCCGATCAAGTGCACTTTCAGTTCTGGCCGTCCTCTGCTTGCCGGGGTGCCAAGTGCACTGCCACTGCTGTGTAGCCTTGAATGCAGCACTGCGGTCGCAGTCTGATGAAGATAGACTTTTCTTTCGCCGTATACAGCGGCAAGCACGATGTAATTGTATCTTCGTGTTTGATTTGTAGCCAAATCAATGATGTTGCCATACTGGCACGGCCTGCTTCAAACCTCTCTCCTTCGTCACAGGACGTCGCGTAGATGCTGTTGTCATGACTCCTTTCATTGTGAACGCAGGGTCGCTGCCCCAAGCTTCGTGGGCTTCAGGCACCGTGCGTTCGAGGGCGAGTGTGGGATCAAGGGCGTGGTGCTCTGTTGAATCGCTGCAGAAGAGTAGCAAACTTGGTTTGGGCTCACCTTGTTTATGTCTATTCCCCTATCCTAAGAGTCCGAAACCCTAAACCCAAACCGGTCCATAGAGTCTTCCTACCTAGGAATATCACACTCGTGACAGCACCTTGGACCTCCCCCTCTCCACTCTCATTGCCAAGACTGAAATGATGGGGCGGGGAGGCAGACGAAGCTTTAAAGCAAAGGCCCCGCAGCAGCCTTTTCTGGCTTTCTCCGTCAGGCAGTCGCAGTCCCCAAGCCGTGGCCTGGCACTCCAGGCGGAGCCCAAGCCCGCCTTCAAAGGCCGAAAGCTCCGTTACTTCAAAAAGCGGGGGGGGAGAATGGGGATGCGGGCTTCCTGAAGCCGACAGGCGACAAGCCCAAGCATCCCATCCTGGACAGCTGGCGCCTCAGACTTGTGGCCCCGAGAAGACCTTGCAGAGAGCTGTTGGCGCTGGCGCTGCGGAGGCGGCTGCAGCGAGCTCATGCAGGCAGCCTACAAGGGAGACACCAAGAAGGCTCCACACCAGCTTGGCGGAGACGGGCGAGCTCCGCGGTCCTCTCTCTCTGAGCCGTGGAGGTGAAGGCTCTCGTCGACGGGGGTGCAGACGTGAACCAGCAAGATGCCTATGGCTGGACGGCTGCCGGGGGCTTTTTGCTCACTTGGTGATGGGTCCGGAGGAACGTCCTTGCCGGAATCAGGTTCGTTACGCTGTCAGGAACAGGTGCCGGGCCGGGGAGATCCGGGGAGCTCTCAGAGCGCACCTTGGGCACACCGTAGGCGCCGTTGTTTGTGGCGGGTTGCAGGCAACTCAAGAGCACCCAGACCCTTCTGGATCTGGGGGCCGACGTGAACATCGCATCCAAGACGGGAAGTCGCTGGGCCCAGCGGTGGCTGTTCTGTGTGATGAAGTAGACTGCCGTGAAAATCCCCTCCCCCTCCCCCCCCCCCC